CAAGCCTAGAGTGCCCTCTAGCTGCTGTCAGTGAGGAAATATCGAACATGTAAATTTTCAGTGATACACGAGTGGCAGATACTAGTACGCAAGCCTAGAGTGCCCTCTAGCTGCTGTCAGTGTGAAAATATCAAATGTGAAATTATATATTTTATATTATGTTGCACCTGAGTCAAGTGACTTATAGTCCGGAAAATGCGGTATAACGCGATATGCTAAGATGCAATCACTATTACTAGTCTAATAACCAGATCATTGAAACCACATTTTGTCGAAATCCCTTAATTCCTATAACTATAATTTTCGAAACGGAGAACGTTTCTGACATGGTACACTCCCTCGACGTAACTCTACGGGAAAGAGGCAGATAAGCTAAAGCTAAGTAAGTCACTTTAACTGCGACATATTAGAGCTCCCCTCACTGTCTCTTTTGTCTCTTCGGTTGATCCCAGAGTTGCCATGCCAACAGATTGGGCCATTCCAAATTGCGATGTAGGCCACTGCACACTCACGGAGGCACCACACATGTTATGAGTGAAATGACTAATGCAATTGAACACAAACGTGTCCAGTAAAGTGAATACGAATTCTTACAGCACAATGATTGGCTGACCGAGCTTGGCAACACAGAGACACATTCACAATGTCCACAGGTGTAGACAGGAATCAGGCACGTGATGAAGTTAAGAGCAATAAATAGTTCAACAGGAGGCAATCTGGGAACTGGATCATGCAGAAAAGATTGAATCAGATGTGAATTCATATTTAACAGAGATACCCGATTGTTGTAGGAAAAAAAATAATCTTAATGTTTTGCAAAAATCTGGAGCCTAAAACGTCTCATCAACACACTGTGATGTGAAAAAAAAACGAACTCAGACAAAGAGGAAAATTTGAAAACTTTTGTATAAGAATCTGTATTTAATTTTTTTCAAACTCTACATACATCCATACATCTCTCAAACAGAGGAGCAGACCGAATGTGTGAGTGTGAAATATTTCCTTGTGTGTGTGTGTGTGTGTGTATGTGTGTGCGGGTGGAAAGGGTTGCAGGTTAAATTTGGTGTTCCAGCTGCCTTCTGCACACCTGCATATTTGAAATGTGCTTACTAGTTACAGACACGGAGGAGAAGAGGAGAAGCAGAGATGGTCACGTGGACAAAAATGATAAAAGTCTCAGGTACGGATTGCGTTTGCGAATTGCATGTGAATGTAAATATGAATGCATGGTATTTTTTTTCATATACTGTATCTATAAATTGTGTTCTCACCGCATACATACAGTATATACATATAGAATATAGTTAATGTACTTACATATATATATACATAAATACATATATACCTGTATGCATACAGTATATATATATATGTATATATTTATACACATATACAGTGTATACACATACATATAGGAAGCTATATGTAGGTGCATATTTATATGCATATACACGAGGGCTGTCAATATTAATGAGAAATTGCGTTAATTAATTTGTGAACATTAATCTGATTAAAACTGTAAAAGCATGGGGAAAAAAATTACACGCGCTGTAAACGTTAAACTAATAGATAATTCAAAAACTAAAACTGTAAAAGCATGGGGAAAAAAAAAATGACACGCGCTGTAAACGTTAATCTAATAGATAATTAAAAAAGGTCATTGTTTAAACGCAGTGCGGATGCTTAAAGTACCAACTCATCCACCGGAGGCCATTATTATCTTGACCTTTTTCCATATGAATAATTCCATCATTTGGATTAGTTACAAATAAAAACAGGTTTGAGACGTATACATCTACCTGCTGTTAGTTTCCTTTCTGTTCCAGCAATGGCATTAAAAATCCTGATTCAAAAATATTAATCAACTGACAGCCCTAATATGTACATAAATATACATACATAAATATATTCACATGTATATAATAACATCTTTTTTTTTGCACCACTGTGTTTTATAGGAATGTATTCGTTGGGAACCAAATGCTCCTTAATAAATCTTAATCTTTGTGTAGTACTCTGCATAGGTCCAGGTTAGAAAATGGTGATAATAATCGCGTTACTAACCACTGTTGGTCTTGAGGAACATCAGTTTACCGATATGTAAAAACTGTAAAAACTTCAGATGCATGTCTTCGGTATGTAGGTGTTCCATACATCCATCCATATGTATATAATCATTAAGAAACAAGCTGTCAGTGTGAGAACATTGTGTTTTGACAATGAATGTAGAGTACAGAATGTAGGTCAACATCTGTGTGTGTTTGTGTTTGTGTTTGTGTGTGTCTGTGTTTTAGTCGCTGTCATCTCTTTCCTGAGTCTCAGCCAGAGAGCTCTCGTCAATATTCTCCAGGCTCTCTGCGCGCTGGATGCTCAGCTCAGAGAGGGGGATGCTGGGTAGTGTAGTCTGCTCGGGATAGAGCCACGGCTTAAAGTTGGGGTTGTGTCTCTGCTTCCACTCCGAATACTTCAAACAGGCCTTGTTGATCTTCGACATTGCCTGGGAAAAAAAAAAAAAAAAAAAAATATTTACCCTAAGTTCATTTTGTTTTATAGGTTCAACACCCCTAACACTCTGCTGCGGGATTTACATCAAGGCCAGGATTGTGTGTATGTGTATCTGCAAACCACTTACCCCCGGAGCAAAGTAGTGTGTAGACCTGTTAACAACCCACTTGGGTAATGAACCTGTAAGAAGAGACAGTGAGCAGGAAAAAAAAAAAAACAAGAAAGAGGAGAGAGAGATTATTAAGATCCAACTAGCATCAAACTTACATGAACTGATTTTTGCATTTTCTGAGCACTTCAAATTGTCAGAATGTATTCAATATCCCTTCATGCTAACCTTAAATATCACCATATATTTTGCATAACACTATCACTATAACCTTACTCTAATCTGGCGGTAATTGTACTAACTCCAAACTCAATCTAAAACCTTAAAATACCCTTTGAGTTTATGGAAATCAACACAATTTCCCCAAATAGAGAAACCGCTTCACAATAGTACAATTTCCAAATACTTGACCTTGAGGACCAATTTTTTTTTTACTACGAAGTGGCCCCAGGGTCCATTAAAAATTACATTTAGTGAAGTCGGGATTGAATTCTACGCAAAAAAAAAGTAGCCTTTTGTCTTAAATTCTTAGTTTTTATACTTTTTTGCTGCAGCTAGCGTAGAGAAAAAGACGGTCTTCTTCCTCTGTATATCTGTATATTATAAAACTGAAAGGGTTTTGCGGCCCAAAGTTTTGGCCACGACCCGTCGACTTAGGCACTACAGGTAAAATTTGTAAAAATTTGTAGTTGACTTGATGCATATAAATAAAAGTGCAGTTTCGCGTTTCTGCCCGAAAAACTTCTATCACCAAAACGGCACGGCCAAAACAGGAAGTTATGATGACGCAAGATGACGCAGGCTTGTCTGAAAGTCTTGTCTGCAGTGTGGACGTATTTCAACATACTGTATCTGAGAAGGTAAATCGGATAGGGATTTGCAAAACACGTAATGGTGAAATTTCAAGAGGAAATTTCCGACTTCCTTATGTGACCATCAGATGATTTTATTTCTCTGCTAGACATTTGAGAATTAATCATTTATTATGCGTTATTAATCTTTCCAATCGCAGCGCCCTATTGGGGTTTAGTACACAGGCAACGCCATCAATGCAATGAATTGGGGTTTAGTACACAGGCAACGCCATAAATACAATGAAAGAGAAAGAGACAGAGAGACAGAGAGACAGAGATGATAGGAATAATGAATATAAAATAACTCCAAAAAGAGAAAGGATGAGAGCGAAGAGGACAAGGACAAGGTATGGACAAGTGAGTGTCCTCCTTATGGTTTCCATGACAACTCATTTTAACGTAGCCGCACGGGAATGAATCATTCATCAGATGTTGTGTCCTGGTGTGTGCGCTGCATTACACTCGGTTACCTCTGGGGTCTATGTGGGCCATGTAGGTGAGGATACAGCTGCTGGGTCCTTGGCTCTGGATCAAGTAACCAGTCTGAATGGACACAGCCCGCACCAAGTCCTTTTTAGGTGGATATTTCTGTAGTACACAAACACAAACGTCATCGTCCACAGGGCCTGGTTTAGACAAACAACCTCTGAGAGCAGTTGCTGAATCGAACAACTAATGCTTACTTCAACATTGCCAAGTACAGTATTAAATTTACTTCTACAGTAGAGAGGAGAGAATGAACCAGAATGGACGCTACCTTGTGTAGAGAAAACAGCAGAATGAGGATTGTTAGTATTCTCTTAAAAATATTATAATATTAATAATAAATTCAAAATATTCATTCAAAGTTTCCATCCGTCGCAATATGCTCCATTTCGACAAGTCATCTTGTATTTAAATTAGAATTTTCAATTTCTCATTCCTGTTGATTTGTCCCATCTGTAGAACACTCACTTCATTCGTCACTGTACATAAAATTGACGTATAAAACACACAACGAAATTAGACCTCTTGTCTACTCAACGTATTCAGACTCCTTTCCTTCATCGTCAAATTCTCCAAGTCCTAGGCCAAGGGTTACCGAACGCAGCGCTTGTTAAAGATAATATGTTACATTTTCCAGTCTAAAACAAGATGTTCTTCTACATTCCACTTTAGTGCTGCTCACTTACTCTAGCATGCTGCCTTAGCCTTTAGCTAACCCCCTACCAGGAAACTAATACTAACTGTTAATGAATGCGGCACGGAAGCTGATTTCAGACTGCAGAGCATTACAAAAGGGAAAAAACTGTCTGCGTAGCGTGAAAGTGACGGCGCATTTGTTCGAAAAGCAGAGATGATAGGACAAAATTACAATTGTTTTAACAATTTTTTTTTTTTTTTTTTCAAAAGCCATTTAAAACACGGCATTGGTCAGTGAACTGACGCCTCTGCCACGAACTCTGCCCTTCCAACGGAGCTCTCAAACAGACCGTGTCTGATTCTCCAGGGTGAGCTTACTGTGGCTAATCACGACACAGCCTATCGAGTTCATAACCGCTCAGTGAAACAGGAATGCGGAAGGCAAGACGGATCTCAACTGCCAACTGCCTGTCACATGAGACGTCTTATCCTTCTGTAAACGTCACACTTGTGAAGGAAACTTTAACCAGAGGGGGAAAAAAAAAAGAAACAACAAAAAACTAAAGACAGAAAACAAAAAAGAATGTCAATAAGGGATGCGACTGATCAAGATCAAAGTGTGAAGATGATGATTTAGTCATTGTTAAAGGAAACCAAACAAGCACAATTACACTAGCTTCAACTGTTAGAAATGGAAACGAGTTAACCAAACTATCCATTGTTCATCTGACTCAGACAGTGACAGTGAAAACAACCATCAGCGTCGTTGTTGCCACTGAAATGTCACTGCTCTTCCAGTTGGGAAGAAACTCAAAAACTCAAAAAAGGCCAAAATAATTGTTCAGATTTTAGATCAGAATCCCAGCTCTAATTTTTTTTTTACTGGCCATTTGACATTCAAATGACATTCAAATAACTCACATCAACTGTCCAACATCTTAACTCGAAGTGATTCCGCAGCCTTGCATTTTTCAGACCAAATTAACTGCGAATGTAGTGATAACATATCACAACAATGCAAGTGCGCGCCGTGAGTTTTCATGAGTATTTTTTTTTTTACAATCCTCAAATTTCCGATGGTACCTGAACACCCCTCGTTAAGGATTTGCAGTGCAGTCGGGGGATTGTGATGCTATTGCGATGTGACAACGTACCCGTTACGAGAGCGCAAACCACTCTGCACTGTTCCATTTGGAGTTACTTTGTCGACCGAACGCCTCAGCGAGTGTTGGCTGTTGGGACGAAGGCTCCGCATCTCAACTCAAAGCAGTTTGTTCTCCCAGCGTGTATCATGCGATCAATGGATTTATTGATTATCGTCCCAATCGGCCTAAGCACAACGGCCTCTAGCTAAACTAGCTAAACAGAATGAGTTCACGTCTACTCAGCCCAGAGGCGGGACCAAGGCATTGCTTTGCAAGTCATTGGGCAAGTCTCAAGTCTTTGCACTCAAGTCCGAATCAAGTCTCAAGTCAAAATAGGCAAAGTCCGAGTCGAATCCAAGTCCAAGACTGAAAAGTGTCAAAGTCAAGTCCCAGGTCCTGCCGTTTCTGTTTCGAGTCCTTTCGAGTCCTTCCACTCACTGCCACTCGTTTTTTTTGTTGACCATATCGTAGTTTTTAAAATCCGAACAACACGATCTTTGGTATCATTTTCTCTAACCCGCGCATTGTGCGACAGCTCTTTCTCATTGGTTAGCCCGCAATGTGATTGGCTCGATATTATCGCGTCAAAACAACGTGGGTCTAATTTGATTGGATGTTGTGCCGGTTTTGGAGAAAGCATCAAGTCTTGTCGAGTCAAAGGGCTCGAGTCCGAGTGAAGTCACGAGTCATTGATGTTAAAAGTCCAAGTCGAGTTCCAAGTCTCTTTACGTTTTGTCACGTCGAGTCTGAAGTCATCAAATTGATGACCTCGAGGCTGACTCGAGTCCAAGTCACGAGACTCGAGTCCCCACCTCTGACTCAGCCAATGTGCTTGTGTAGGCCTCTGAAACAGCCGAGTGCCGAGACTCGAGTCCCCAAGCAGGGGGGGCTCAGCAGAGCATGTGTTAACAGTGTGTATGTGTGTGTGTATGTGTGTGTGTGTGTTCCACTCACAGCATGCTTGACAGAGTAGTTCATGATAATGTAATCCCTTCCTATTGGCAGCCAGGAGCGAAGCGTGATGACATCCCGGTTCAGAACAGGTTTCGGACATTTCCCTGTCAAGAAATGCAGAGGTTATTAATCATGATGTCTATGTTATCGTGATTAATGAAAGTAACCTAATGAAAGTCATTTCTAAATATGACCCAAACCTGACACCAGGTACTGTAGATGTATTTCACACGTGTTTTATTCGTGACTCATCCGAAATGATTGAATTCTTTACCAAACATCAACAAATCAAATCCCACCATAACTATTGTATGAGATAATTATGTTTCCATTTCTTTTCACAGATTTGGAGGATTTTTAATGATGGAATGTAGAATGCAATTGCGCATTTCCATGAGTGAGCGTGCGTGTAACATACATGAGTAGTATCCGACGTCTGCGTTGACCGTGAGTCTCCCGATGTCGAACGTCTCGATCACGTTCTTGTCCCACTTCTTCCGGTACTCAGTGTCGTGGAGAACGTCGTACATGGTCTCCGCTGACACATCCTTGCACACCATCCGACACTGACGGACACGGACGGGGGAATAACAATTATGCTCAGTCAAAAGAAAAGAAAAAAAAAAAAAAAAAAAACTTCTACCGCAGCTAAATTTTAGACTCACTATAGATGCACTGTCTAATATCGCTCCATGCAAGCGCTGCAGGAAAATTCATTCAATTTTAATGAGGGCTGCTCCCCATAGGTTCCCCACTGTAAAGAGCTGGGGCCATTGTTTTGGTCTTCAGACTCTTTTGCTGTTTCTGATGCCCTACACCAGGGCAAGGTAAACTACCACTGCTTCATCTGATCCATTATGTCAGGGGTGTCAAACTCATTTTTACGAGCAATAGCTACATCAGCAATAGCGTTCCTGGTTGTAAATTGAAGACTGTATAGATCAGGGGTCTCCAATCCCTGGTCTGCGGACTTTTTAAAAAAAATTTTTTTATAATTTTTACTAATTTACTCCATTTAAAGAAACCCAGTCATATCCATTTGCTTTCTTTATTTGAAGATAAGATAATCTGGAAATTTTTTTTTTTTTTTTAAATAATACAGTATGACATTCAGACTCTGATACCAACAGAATAAAAGATGTTTTATTTGAAAGATTTAATGATATAGTGGCGCTTTGGCCCAGAGGCAATGTCTCTGTCATTGGGGCAAGTTCGAATCCCGGTTAGGGACGGTTGGTACCTTCCAGTGGACTCACCACCCGCAGGAAGGTTTAGGTATGGTGCAGTGTGATTTGGGCAACGACTGCTGCCCCCCCGCGACCCGGTAACGGATAAGCGGATGAAAATGGATGGAAATGGATGGATGGATTTAATGATATCTTCAATGCGCAGCACCTTGGGGACCGCTACTACCACTTGTCATTGTGACACATCACACCACTGCACACAAACAAATGTGACCTGTGCTTTTAACCCATCACCAACAGCGATGGATTAACAGCTCCCCAGGCAGCTGAGCAGTGTGCGGGGACGGTGCCGTGCTCAGAGCACCTCAATGGTAAAGGTAACGGGTGGTACTGGCTGACCAGTCCGTGGAACCAAAAAAGATTGGGGACCACTGGTATGGATGTAACTACTCCATAACAGACTAATGCATGTTAATATTGTTCATTTCTGTATGATAAAATGATATCTTTTAATTTCTCAGGTTAAGAACCTCTGCGTCATGGATTTACTAAATGCTTTTAAAGCTCCTGCGGGCCACACCAAACGGCTTGGCGGGCCACTTTCGGGCCCCCTGGCCTTGAGTTTGACATGTGCATTATGTGGACATAATAATCCCGAGGACTCTTTATGATGTCAGTGCAAAGGCAACCAGTTCGGTTTGAAATGTGGACGACACGATGGCGAGGGAGAACTTAGGACATGGACATGATTAGAAGTCACATGGCAGGACACTGGAGCTCCTCGGAGTAACAGGACAGCGCAAGACAGAGTGAGACAGAGAGAGAGAGTGGGGGGGAGAAAAGGAAGTGTTGGGGGAAGCTGCAGACCACAGATGAGCCATTACTGGACCTGAGCTCTTTAATAGATAAGGAGGAATTGAAAACAGGACACAGACACAGTCGTTCAAACGGCTTCACTTTTACAAGCCACAACATTTGGCATTGGACAAGAAAAAAAAAATGTACTGCACGTTGGACCCTATGGCTAAAATAATTCCAACTATTGTAGAGAAACGATCGACTCGTCGTACTCATTTTCTCTCGCTGCTCATTTTTTTTACTTTCCCTTCGCAACTAATCATGAAGACTCTGGGTGGATACGTTATCGGGTTAACCTAACGGTATATGAAGATGCAAGTTGAAGCATGTCATGGACGCGTCACATTGACTTGAGTTATCCCAGGGTTGGTGTTAGCATAGCCCGGCCTGGAGGAATACCGACTATTTAAGGTTAGGTTTTAATTTGTGAGTAAAACTTTACCCAGAAGATAACCTTACTCTTTAAGCTAATTTTCAGAACATTGTTGGAGGTGTACAGCTCCATGGCCAGTGCTCTCTTGCTAATCACTCTTAGTCCACAATCACAGAACACCAAAATATTTGCAGATTGTATCACTAACCTTTGAAAATGGACACCAAAAAAAACATACTCAGGAATCAGTTGCTTATACAACTAAACATGCACTGTACTGTGTGTCATGGCCTACATGCGCACACATGTTGAGGAAAGAAGTCTGCAGCTCCCCAAGAGTGTGCGTTACTACAGTGACAATTGTCAGGGGGGTCGGGGGGGGATTTAATAATAACAACAGACTGTATAATTTCAACAGGAGGAAGGCGAAGACGAATGATTCAGATGAAGAAATGAAAGGAAGAGAATCAGCAACACTACGATGAGAGATGTTAAAAAAAAAAAAATATATATATAAAAGATGGCAAATGAGCCGGTAGATAAATGTCCTCAGTCTCTGTTGGTTTAACTGCCTTCACAAATCATTACACCAGAATTCAGGTTTCCACTGGGTAAATCTTCTTTCACGGCCCCTGAGGCTTTTTTTTTTTTAAGGAGACGATCTCCTGTTTCTTTACAGCTACATAAACTGAAGGTTACCTCTCTTAATCGCTGTTAGCACAGTGCTAAATAAAATGTTGTCCTCGGGTATACATTTCTGATTTGGTACAAAGGAGGTTTGAGGATGTCTACTGGAGATGTCTCTTCAAATAAGAAAGAAAGAAAACAAAAGAAATAGTGAGGAAAAGAGAAGAAAAATAAAAAGATAAAAGGAGAAAAAGAGAAGTCGGAAACAAAGGAAGAAATGACTACGAATAAGAAAAGGTGGAGAGAAAGACATAAATGGATGTAGAGCGAAGAAAGAGAGAAAGAAAGAAAGAAAACTAAAAAAAAAACAATTATGAAGAGAAAAACATGAAGAAAGGAGATGGACAAGAAAAAAATACCGTAAGTTTTAGACTATAAGCCGCTACTTTTTTCACATTCTTTCAACCCTGCGGCTTAAACAATGATGCGGCTAATTGATGGATTTTTTACGGGCTAACGAAGTTCATACTGCTAGCGATCAATGACTTTTTTTGCTAGGCTACTGTGTGTTATACTAGTAGCGTACGTCTGTCTGTGATTGGTTGGACAGGAGCTGTTAAAACACTGTTCATGTTCTGTTGTGCTCAGCGTGGCCCCAACTTCACTGTTTCTGTTTATCTTTGCTGCACAAAGTGAAGGGAGTTAGCCCCGGGAGCTAATGTTAGCTTATACGCTAGAGCCAGATCATGTCTCCCCTGTACATTCCAACTATGTTCGAAGCAGGAAAAAGCTAACGTGTAACCAGCCGTGCTAAATGCACTGTTCAGAAAAAAAGGATTTATTAAATTAAAAGTGAAAAGAAAATCCTTCTGTGTAAATATCCCATGTTATAACATGGACACCTCCGGCTTATTGAGAAGTGCGGCCTATATATATATACAATTTTTTTTTTTCTTTTTAAATTTAGGTGGTGCGGCTTATACTCCGGTGTGCTCAACAGGAAATTACAGTAGTAGAAAGTAGAAAAACGCCTCAAATGACAAACTCATGAAAATGAAGAGCATTTTGAACGAAACAAAGATCCAACAAGAAAAAGACGAGGAAAGGTGAAGAATTTGATGGTAAAGAAAATGAAAAAAGAAGAAAAGACGAAGAAGAAGAAGAAAAAGGAAAAGAGGAAAAACAAACTCCGTCAGTGACGTTACAACAACATGTATTTACTGTTTAATTAGGATTAGTGAAGACCGATTTCTGCAGACAGGCCTTGATAAGACACAGTCCAGGCTGATTTTATAACAACATGTAACAACAACAACAACAACAACAACAACACATGGACACGGTGGACATCACTGACGGCTATCAAGAGAAAAGCGGCATCAACCGTGGCCAAGTTCTCCAGCTGGAGTTGGAGACTGTCCCAAAGCATCAGCACCGATAAGGTCTCGAATTGGATGATCTCATATTTGTGAGTCTGTGTGCAACGAATTCACAGTTCAGGGAACAGGAAACACAGGCTGTTTTGTTTCTGCAGGCCAACTGAGACAGTGGCCGACTGTTGGGCAGAACAGTGAGGGACAGAAAAAGAACAAATGTAAAGGTGACTAAAGAGAAAAGTCAAAGGAGCAAAGGAGCTTTGTCGCAGACTGAAGACATATGTCCAGCTACATGGACACATGTTACTAATTGAGGGAGCTCAGCCGATGGAGTGTGCGGAGCGAGACGTAGGTGAAAGACACTGAGAGGCTGCTGCAAAGACAATGGACTTGCGGGGGGGGAATTTTTTTTTTTTTTCTACCTACTAATCATCCTCTCCCCTGGTTCCACGTCTTCTTCCTCCGCTTTTGTTTCCTTTCCTACCTCCCTCTCACCTGTCAGCACTCATCTTCTTCGGCCCTAAGTGCTGATACATCACTGTGGAAAAACAATTACCAAAACAAAAGTGGAGAGGGAGAGGGCACACGGTGATTCACAGCCAGGCTTTCCCTCTGCGTCAGCACCCGAACAGGCAAATGTCCATGTCTGTTTGTGTGCGTGTTTGTGCGTGTGTCGGTCGGTACATTGTGCAGTGTGTGGACGTACGCTGACGGGAACAAAATTGCAATGATGAAGGTGCAGCTGATGAGCTGTCTGATTGCATTGTGATGCACAAATGCAGCAGTGACAATGATTCTGATGATAATTGGAGCGCTAATGACAACGACGATTGCCCGTCCGCTCTCCTACGTTCTCTTGCATCATCTAAGCCACGTAAAAAACGGCAGACGCACACACAGAACGAGTTCAAAGTTCACTCTTGAGCGCTCGCCGAGTACCGATGTGTATATATTTATTAAAGCTCGCACTCATCCATTTCTCCATAATGACAGACGTGAGGACAGGTCTGCGTTGTCTCCTCTTGTCACAACGCTGCTAACTGGCTCCGGTCCGCCGACTTCTCTTCCTCAGCTCCCCCAAGGTTTCTCATGGGGCGGGCTCCTCAGTGCGCGGAATTGCTAACACCGCTATCGAGCACCAGTGA